AGGGCGGCCCCCGCCGCGGCGCCCCCGGGGCCCGCCCGAGCCATTCGTGTGTCCCCGGGAGGCCCCCACCCCCAGGTGCCCGGAAACCCCAAAGGTTGTGAGCCCTGGTTCAAAGCTACAGACTAACAGTCACCCCACTTCTAGAAACCTGCCCTGGGCGCTGCTCTTAAAATGTTCCCGGGGCTGGTTACGTGCAGTCAGCTGATTGGAGACCAGTTACAGGAGCGGCCTTCTAGCAGAGTGTTCCTTTGTATTTTTTTTTCCCACTTCATTTGTGTAGGAGCGTACACCGAAAGAAAACCCCAGCATGAGCTATGTATCCGACAAAGCTGAAAAAAGAGCAGTTTTTGGAAAACAAGTGAAAGTCCTTCTCACCCCCTTATTCACGGAAGGAGAGAAATGCAACAAACGTCTGCCCCAGAAACGCTTACTGGAAAAGTTTTCTAGTAATGAGGGCTCTTCAGAAAGAGAACCAAAAGTCAAAAAATCCTGTGATGATCTCACAAGTCTGCAAATAAGAGATGAATCCTACAAGGCTTCTTCCAGTCCACAAGAAGTAATCCCCGATACGTCTTCACTTCCTAATCAGAGTAGCATGGTGTCATCCACAAACACCTCCGTTATGGTTGATCATGATTCAGAAACCAATGGGGACACAGACCATGAAGGAAGCAATTTGGATACCTCTTATCTGGTAAGAAGTCAAACACTGACTATTTTAGTGACTATGTACTTTTTCACACCTGCCAAGGGAGATGAGAAGCAAAAGGGGCAACTTCCATGGTGCCTGGCAAATCAAAAAGGCTTGGGGTAGGCATGGCATGCTGGGAGAGACACTGAGGCTGTCTGAGGGAAGCTAGTCCCAGCCCCGCCTCTTCTGCCTGAGGCTCCACCCATTCCAGGGGTGTACAGGGGACCAGAGAGTCTTTTGGCCCCACTGTCCTCTTAACTTTTTCAATATATTCTTAGCCTAGCCCTCCATTTATCCTATTTGGCATTTTTCACATTTTGAAATTTTCACATTTTGAAACTTCAAGAATTGATGACCTTATATATAAGGAACTGTTTGCTCCCTAGAAAACATCAGAGAATAAAATTCTGCTGTTTTTAAGGAAATGCAATGATTTACTTATTTTTCTATCTTAAAAAAATGAAGATCATGTTTTTTCATAGTTATTCAAGACGAATTATTCATTTTTACATTGCCCTCTGGATTAGATTTTTGACTTACCAATATATATAGTTTTGTTTTTATTGGTTGTAGGTAAATATTACTGTTTACTTAGCATAATTAATGTTAAAATACTTGGTAACATATGAGAAGAATGGGCCTGAAGTTCCCCACCCCTGATTTAAAGAGTCTAGTAAAGACTTGCAAAATTAAACGCTGAAGTCAATCACGTCAACCACTGTACTCCTTACTTGAGGAGTAAGGAAAGTTAAGGGGAGTGTTTCTCCTGTTGACCTCCCTCTGTGTGGTGCCAGGAAATCGATGCAACTTATATAGCTGGAGTTCCATATTTTGCATCGATTTTTCTCCTCAAGAGTAGTCCTACCCTTAGATTGCAAGCTCTTTCCAGCTAATTCTGCCTTTTTGTTCTGTAGTTGTAGAGGGCTGAGCACAATGGGTTCCTAGTCCATGACGAGGGCTCCTAAGTGCATTGGAAATCCAAATAATGGTTTTCAGAATGTACCATGTTTCCCTTATTTTGTAAGGTGACAAGAAATAGCACACAGCTTATTCCATTTACAGCCAGTATTTGGCTTATGAGTATATCTGAATAATTCCACTCTTATGAAAAAGTTAGCTACCTTTAGTTCTGAAAAGGAGTCAATTAATTTTTCTCTTCACAATACTGAAGACAGCTATTATAAGACAGTCTAACACTGGTATTTTTGTACACTCTTCAGTGTATATAATTGCCTCGTGTTGTATGTTTTCGTTTCTTGTTTATCAGTGTAATATTAATTTAATTATTGAATAATTTTAACATCCATAAAGAACTTTGATACAATCTTTAAAACTCCCTAAGTGTGTGTCTGAGCTCTATGTATAAAACACTCCTATTCTGATACAAAATCATTTTGGCTTCTGTTGCTACATGAAATTAATAAAGGTTTTCTGAAGTTAGTGTACTGACTAGCTCCCTCACATTTTTC